CAAAATCTATATTCAAAAATAAACGGAAAAACAAATTTAAAAGCGGAGCCCGAGAGAGAGAAAACAGAATTATATTAGAATACCTGCCAGTGAGTGATCCGAAAATCAAGGTTCCCAATAATGGAACGACGTCGGAAAGAAAAGGAGCTCTCCTTTGTAAAGTGGGTGGGGTGGAGAGGGAGATGGAAGGGGAGGGAGGAGTGGAAAAGGGAAGGGAAGTGGAAAAGAGGAGAGTGGAGGAAATTTTTGATGAGAGGGGGAGAGGTCGCTTTGGGAAGTGAAGAGTGTGGAAAGGAGAGGTGAATGGGGTAGAGAAGGGGAGGATAGAGGGGGGATAAGGGGGAGAGGAAGGAGAGTTGTGAGTGGGGTAGATAGGGGAGGGGAGGAGTGCTTGGGAGGCGAAAAGGCAACGGAGTCTTGTGCCCCTCCTTCTTGCCGCCGCCCTCGCTTGCCCTTTTTCGGGGTGCGCTCAAAGCAATTAACTCTTGACATTCCCGGACAAGAGCCCGACCGCGGCGCCCAGCGGCTCCGCTGGGAACAAAGTGCCAAAGCCGGCGCCTCCTAACCCCACCCTCCCACCCAGGTCCCTCCCTCCCTCCTCCTTCCCACCCACTCACCATCAACCGGCTTCAAAAGTACAAGGGGCGCTTGCTTACGCTACGCTCGCAGACGCGCGCAGCTCCACGCTACCTTAGAGTCAGACTGACGGAAATACAATTTTTGGTTGGAACGTTACCAGAATCAGAACTTCTGTATCTTACGAGCAAACAAGGATCGCTCGGAATGTTAGTACAAAACTCAGGGCTTGACACATCTATAAAGTTATATCCTTTATTAGAGTGAAAGGAACGTAAAAGACGTTATATTTGTCTGCCTCCAAACATTTCGTGTGTGTAGTTAGGTCAGTCTGACCCTAAGATAGCGTCGCAGAACCCAACATGGCTTGCCACGTGACACGAAGTGAGGACCCGATTAAATTCAATGATGCTTTATTTTATGAGGCAAGACTCAGAACATCAAATCTACTCATCCTTTTGAACACGCAAATGTTGCTACGCTCCTTTCACCATCTAGCGGAGAAAGAAGGTATGAATTATACGGGATAAGGGTAACGAATTTTGCGATAAAACGATTTGAATTTACCTCAGAGACTTCTTTTAGGCTTTAAGATATTCTACATGCAGTAAATCTACACGGGACAGTAAGTATTACATTCCCTCGGAAGGAATGCGTAAGAAGACCCGTAGACCGCCAATCTCACTTTTAAGGTTGGAATCGAATACTTGCAATTCTACCAAATAAATGCTTGTATTGTAGAAAGATTCGGGAGTCGAACTATCGATTCTTTTGTAAATCTTCGCCTTTCGAATACAACTCATCATGTTTAGTCAAAATGTTCATCATCTCACTGCTCTGCGTTTAAGAATTCACATTTTCAAGCAGCCCATCGTTCCCTTTCCCGAGAGCTCAGCACAGGCGACGAGTTCGAAGACAACTGTGGGACCTACAATTCATACGACTCAACCTTTGGCTGACATAGGTAGTATCAGTTCCTCTTGCTGAGATTCCTCTCTGCTTCCAGGGGCTGCCTGTATACAGAGCCATTGTATTGTCGCGCCAGACCATTTCCACAGCCACATAGAAATTCCCTCAGCAACCGTGCACGGCCCACCAGCTACCTTTCACTGTCCGACGGCTACCATGCGCCTCCCGGCAGCTACCTTGTACCTCTTGCCAGACACGTTGCTTTTCCTGCCGGCTACTTTGCACCGCCCGCCATCTTGCGCTGCCCGGTAGCTACCTGGCGCTACTCGCCAGCAACTGTGCGCCTCTCACCAGCTACCTTGGCATTGCCAGCCATCTACCCTGCACCACCCGACAGCTACCTTAAACTGGACGCCGCCCGAGAGATAAGATTGGTTAACTTACCATACGCTTCTAAGACTGAAAAAATATCGACTTACGATTTTCAAGGGTTTCTGACAGGTTTTGCCTCGAGCTATTAAGTTTTTTCAAAAATGTCTAATATACTGTCATTTTCGTATATACTTGATACTTTTTCCTGCGCCAGATGAGTATGATGTTGATAACAGTTATTAGGACAATTGTGGATGAATTTTTAAAATAAGTTTTTTAATGGATGTTGTAACAAAACTAATTACAGATAAATTCCGTTGTGGTAGCAGATATCTTGTGGTAACCCATGGTATTGTAAAGGAAGTAAGATTACAGATAATAATGGTCACTTGGTTATTGGATTACGTGTGCACAAGTAATTCTCATTAAAAAATTATCGCAATTTTGATAATTCTAGCTCTAACGAAGTAGATATATACTTTTACGGCGTTTTTGTTAAAATATTTTTATGAAAATGCATTTCATAATTATGAAGTTTATTTAGAAAATTTGCTACCTGAATGGTCAAATGTACAAACGGAAGGGATGCTTTACTCTCGCATACGTCCAAATGTTTATCATATCAAATAAAAATCAGAAATTCAACGAAATGTAAAAAAAAATGGTTGTTAGATAACTTTTTCATTATTCACAAAAATAAATAAATATTTATTATTAGTTTATTACACGTCTCCAGAAAATGTAATTTTCTTAATCTCAAAGGCTTCGTGCATATAGTCAAACTGTTTTTTATTGAGTAGAAACATGAGATGCTGCCATTTCATAACATAATTTTAATTATTGAAGCAAATGAAGCAACTACCAGCATATTGGAATGCGCACATAAAGTGTTATGCATTTAACTGGCGGACTTATTCTATCTTCTCATATTTCTCTCTCGACTTGTGACATACTGCTGGATGTTCTCCAAGATCCGAACGAGAATCTTTAGTCCAAAGTAGGAGTTGGCTACTATAAAATTCATGAAGTTAATATTGAATGTTTAATAAGCAAACGTTAGATCCTTTCTCTATTCTTTATTCAGAAACTAACCAAAGTTTGCAATGCAGAAGAAGTGAGCGTGATAAATTAGTCGCTTCTTGAGAGTCGTAAACTTGAGAACAATTGCGAAGCGCGGGATTTACCGTCGAAATAAAAACCTTAGGCGTAACATAATGCTAACAAATGAAATAAATGTTTTAACAGGATTCACGTCTAAAAAATTGGAGTTCGTCCAAAATTATACGGAATTATTAATTGTGGATTGTTCTACGAAAAATGGATTCTCCTCCGACAAAACAAACATTTTCTTAGGAAGCTTTTCAGTTACGATGCGAAGATGAAATTATTTTTAAACTACATCGCAAACACAGATTACATCAGTATTCAAATTACGTATAACGAAACGTATAGAAAAGAATACATTATATAAGGGTTTACTTACTACTAATGTTGCCATGTTCAAGATTGTTTAGGTAATTAGTGCCACATATCGCACTAAGAGAGAACCAATTGAGATGGCTCAGCGCATCAATTGATGTCACTGCAGTGCCTCTAACTAGAAGAAGTTTTGAAAATAGGTACATAGCTAAATCGCATTCCGAAGGAGAATTATAGCGGACGCTTCCTGGAGGAGAATTCTATGGTTTAACTCTTTTGATCTGTAGTTTTCCATGGTTTCTCCCATAAACATCTGGTGAATGGTGAAGGCGGCCCAAACACTTATACTTAAGAAGTGTCACTGCCATTTTGGTAACAACCGCGATGTTTTGTTCGTACGGTACTGCTAAATTCAAAAATTGACACGTTTTATTATCACCAAATCTCGAATAATATTATCAGTTTTTACGCTATCATGCGATCGGTTTCGATACTTCGGTCAAATGATATTTTACACAAAGAAACATACGTTACTGGCTTTAGGGTTTGCATCTTTTTGGAGCATGTTTCATTAAAAGGCACTATACTAATTACATTGCCAATTTTTGGATAATAAACTCTTACCCTAGAAAGGTCTTCTATTACTCTTCTCAATAGTCAATCCATTTTATATACAACAAAATTATTTTACTTTGTCCTTTCGTAATAATTGTAATTAAAGACAAAAATTATTGTCAAAAAGTACTGAACAATACGAAAAACATCATTAGGGAAGACAAAATGATTATCAAGGGACATTGTTATATTGAAACCGATAAGAATTCGTGATTGTTGTTCTAACAGAACACCGAGCTAAAGGTAGCATTTGCCAAACTTCACCAACTAGTTTGGCCTAAGCCAGTATGACAAAAAAATGTAACGAAATTTTAAGAACGTTTATAGAGAATATTTTGTCAAATATATTTTTAATCAAAATTCAAAGTTTTACATATTCTTAAAACACCTAAAATATTATTTTTATGTATACGTTTATTGTATCTCAAATTCGGACGGATTTTTGGCGCACTTCAGACGTATTTTCAGCACCGAAAAACAATAAAGGGGCAAAAAATCATAACGCCACCAGATTTTTGTTTTAGGAAACTACATAAAGAGGAGCAACGTTCAGAGAGTGCCAAAAGAGATATGTATCACAAAACTAAGTTGACAACAGGGCGAATATACGATGACGGCGTTGAATGACAACTCGAAAAAGAGTGCAGGTTCAAATCATGCTCACTGACCATTACTTATATTATTAGAAAGTAAAATAATGTCTAAGCAATCCCCAGAAGTGATGTCGGAAATGCTGTACATTGATTTGTATAAGTATCTAACTCTGAGGTAACACATGTATTTGCAAACCATTTGTAGGTTTGGGCGACATTGTAGTGCGTCTTAAAGTGGTTGAAAAATTTTGACATAAAAAAAATGCACCTGTACACTTGAAGGTTGAAGTGCCGATGTTGTAGATTTGTCGTGGTTGGGTGAATGTTTGGTAAGAAAAAGAATGTGTCACCCACTTGTAGACCTGGCCGAGGTTGTAGTGCGCGTTGACGTGGTTGGGCGAGTGATTTTCGTAAGAAAAAGAATGTGTCACCCACCTGTAGACCTGGCCGAAGTTGTAGTGCGCGTTGACGTGGTTGGGCGAGTGATTTTGGTATGAAAATGAATGTGCCACCCACCTGTAGACCTGGCCGAGGTTGTAGTGCGCGTTGACGTGGTTGGGCGAGTAGCGGATGGCGGCGAGAAAGTGGCCCTCGGCGTCCTCCGTGGCCGTCATCAAAGTCCCCAAGTTGTTGTGCGCACTTGCGTACGTAGGCCACAGCCTGGAACAAGAACAGATCAGCTGTTATTTTCTTTCGTTTGGCTTTGCAGAAAAAAGAGCTCAAAATATCTAGATGTTATGTTTAAATTCGTAATATACAAATTATTTATAATAACACTTTTGATGAAGTCATTATAACTTAAAAAAATACATTTTCACACATATAATTTCTTTTCCTGGTGTGCGAATTCATATCCTGCTAGAAACTATTTTCGTAATTTCATTCCCAGATCTTACATTATGTTCACAGGAAAGTAATAAGTTTTAATATCTTCGCGTAATGTTAAGTAAAGAGATGTGACTGACTGACATGTACATATCGTGTATACAAAGCGCGCTTTGGCGTACAAATAAAATGTTGACGGGTGAGATGCCTATATGAGCCGAGTCCGGCATTTGGAAATAAGTGCGCCAAAGACACTTTTGTACGAGTTTCGTGCATTATATTTACTTGAAATTTAAGTAATCTTACATAAATACTTTTAGAATCAGTGCCATATGCCATAAGGATAACGATTTAATCTGGATTAGTACAACAATCGATTATTATATATAATTGATTATTCGAAATTATTGTTTCGCCGATTAATGTGCACATCAATGAATTTTTCGGATTATTAGCTCGATTTTTTAAATTCAAATATTAATTTTCTAGACGAGAAAAACATGAAAATACATCTGTACGTTTTAACTTTAGCAACGTTATTCCTCGTCAGTACATCTCTCTCCAACTGCAAACATTAAAGAGGCAAACATACGCGATTAATTTTATGTCAGTAAAAGTAATTAAAAGAAAAGTCACTATGCATATTCTAATATTTTAGTGATGGTATAATATTTAGCATAAAATAATAAGGAGACAGAGTTACCAGTTTTCCTAGAATCGTCCTCATCCATGTACATCGTTAGACTACAATTATTGGTGTTATTGTTCCTAGAAATTCTATTACTATTTTCATTTTAAACTGAGTTACATTGGTTTGTCTTAAAAGTATGTGTATGGATTGAATTTTATTTAAATAAATAATAAACAAATGTTATTAACTAAATGATGCTGTGTTTCTAAAAATCTACTAAAGGATTAATTTATTTACAAATTAAAAATAATAAGATTTTACTTTTAGAAACTATTTCAAACATGAAAAAATAATAGATTACGTAATGTTAATCGATTACTCGGAACGATTAAACAATGCAGCTTATTCTAATAAAAAATAACCTATTAGATATTAATCGGTTACTATTTAATAATCACCCATTCCTAATAGGCGAAACAGCTGCCACAATAAGGCGACAGTGTTGTATACTCTGCAAATTTCAATTGTTTAAATGCAGCCCATTTTGGTGTATGCGTATAACAAAGTGACACTTTCCAGTCTATAAAGTTGTGATGCAGTACGTACTTTCGCGCCCGTATTTTCACAGAAAATTACGCGAAAGATAATCAAATTTTCGAAAAACTGTAGATGACCTTATTTCAAAATCTACCTCTCAGGAACATAGTCCGATAAGAAAAAATCTGTATATATCTAGTTGTAGGAAGATGCCAAACAAATTTTGAATTTCTCAATTTCGAAAAATAAGGGTTTTCATTGAAAATGAGACCAGTATCATTCCCTTATACTTATTTTACACTATCGAACAACCACATTTAACCATAACAATGAAGCCATATTTTTTGAAAAATTTAAAAATGTTCCAGGGGCTTCATGTAAAGCACGGCCTCAAAATTAAAATATAGGGTTCAAATTGAAGGAGCTCGACATCACGCATATCGATAGGAAAATTTAAATTTTGGAGAAAATCTTCTGAATGCTAGCGTTGCTGACCGACCGACAAACGGAAAGACGGACAGGCGGTTGTCGTCATTCCACTTTTTTGTATCAAGCACAGAGAAAATATGAATTCTGGATACATTTCGGGTTAGAAGATTTTTTTTCTAAATTTAGCAACTGGATTTATGGACTTTTACGTTTTTCTATCGAAAATTTGAGGCTTATTCGCGCAGCATTACATAACTTTCTCTCTACTGCGTAAGCGGATGCGAGAAATTAACAGTGATGGTAAAGTCTATTTTCCTTTCACGAGTGATGAAAATGATCTTGCTGCACTCTAGGAAATGCAATTAATCATTAAATCAGTCTTAACAGAAAACTTGAGATCAACCGTAACCGTCTTGAGGTAAAGATCTGCAGAGCAGCCGAGTACGGCGCTCACTGGCACACGTCGACATATAACTTGCATTAATAACAGAGTGGGATTAATTCTCCTTGACGGCTCCAGGGCGCGCGAGCATCGCACAGCGGCTGCCTGCGCCCCGCCCCGCCCCGCGCCGCGCCCACGCTCCGCTGTGCGCTGCCACACGTAATTAACATAGGGAGAAACTCCATCAGGAGAAGCACGGAGCGGAGCGGAGCGGAGCGAAACCCTTCCGGAAACAGACTCTCCGGCCCTTCCCGCGCATCCACCAGCCCTCAAACCGCGCAACACTCTCAGCTCTTCCCAACAACCTCCTTCTCCACCGCTGCCACCCCCTCCCTCGTCCACTCCGCCACCTCTCCCTTCCTACTTCCCC